TCCTGTCCGCGTGCAGGAAAGCTCTAGGTCAAGGCCGCTATACCTGGCGCCACAACAAGGTGCTAAAGGAGTTAGCAGCCGTTGTCGACCAGGCTAGAATGAGGGCTAACGCCAGAGCCAGTTCTAGTATCGTCCCCATTCGTTTCCTCAAGGCTGGGCAGGTTCCTAAAGGTAAGGTCAACCAAAACGCATTCGCTCCATCTGCGCTAGACTCTGCGAGGGACTGGTTACTGGCGGTTGATCTGCCAGGACATGAACGGTATCCCGAGTTGATCCGTAAAACCGGCCTGCGACCGGACATCGTTCTCCATTCTGCGCAAAAAAAAACGGCAACTCATCATCCTGATTGAGTTGACGGTCCCGTTTGAGTCGCGGATGGAGGAGAATCATTTGTATAAGCTCGAGAAATACAGTGATTTAGCAGCCGGTTTGAGGAGAAACGAGGCTTACACAGTGCGGGTATTTGCCGTCGAAGTGGGAGCGAGAGGCCTCGTTTCCACTTCGCTCTACAATGTGGTTAAAGAGTTAGGATTGCGCGGTAATGAACGGAAACGGGCACTCAAAAAACTTGGTGAGGTGGCCGAAAGGGCATCCAGCTGGCTTTGGACGCAGCGCAACAACGTAGGGGGACGGGCCTCGGTGAGCTGGTCCGGGTATCTAGTGGAAAAGAGTTTCTTATCCCTTTGAAAAGTCCATCGTGTACGAATTGTCTGCCAGTGTTCCTCTGCCAACTGCTAATAAAAGTCCAAGATGTGTCCGGTAAACCAAAGTAAGCTTGTCGCTCGGTCGTCCAGGCATGCGGACTGTTCTAATTACGCTGCCGTGGCGGCTTCTTATCTCACAGTACCTCCTTCGAAACCACCAAGTCGTCTTGTCTCTGGCCGAAAGTATAACACCATCCGGTAATTCTGTGCGGCGGGGAAGCAGCCCTGAGCTTCATGAACTCAGGTGGGCCCACCTCCGAATACGTTTAGGAATCGTGGGCCGAAACGTGTGTCGAAAGAGGATAATTTCTACTGATGACTGTAGATCCCCGCTGTACTTGCTCCCTGTGAGTTTATTCTTATAACAAGATGGCCAAACCACTTGATCTGCTGTTTCACGGTGAATCTAGTACAAGATGTCGTTCCCACAATTTGCCTGATAGTTTTATTATTCGCTTGATCTCGGATGGTTAGGTTGGCTGCTTTTCTCAGGCTCCTCATATTGCAGGTGGTGATTTTGCGTATCTGAGCTTTAGATAGTGTCCATGTTTGGCACTGGTAGCCTAATGTTGGAATGAATATGCTATTAATAATCTGTCTCTTTGCACTCATAGTTATGATTGGATGTCCTAATAATGGTGACAATTGGTATATAAGTGCACTTGCTTTCTGGCATCTGGTTTCTATTTCTCTGTCAATTCTTCAATCTTCTGTGATTGTTATTTTCGGTTTATTTGAAGTCAAATTGTCAAACCACTATGACAGTAGTTTTGTGTAGTCTATCAAAGGGAAAATCAATAAAGAAGAGAGTGAGTTGAGCTGAGTTGAGCTGAGTCAAGAACTGACATCACAGCACTCGGGGCATTCCCATGCGTGGTTCGTCCTCATCTTCAGCAACCAGCGCAGAGTTCCAGTACTGATGGTACCGGTCACAATTGGTTTATATGTCCGTCCCGCCTTTCCTCTGAGTGTAGTGAGCCGGGTAGACCATCTGGTTACACCCAGGTGCCTCATTCTCTCCAGGCCATAATAATCTTCTTTCTCTACTGATTCCGTTGCTTGTTCCCAAAGGGCCTTGACCACATCTGCCTTTTACCACCAGCAGCCTGACAATGGTGGTCATGGCTGTGACAAAGGCCCTAGAATGACTGAAGGCTCAGGAGTTCCCCAATGAATGTTTGCTCATCGACTCAGCGAGCAAGCTACAGAAGATCAAGTCGGGGTACATACTGAAACAGTGGCTCCAACTTATACAGCACACAGCGTTTAGCAAAATCCTTTTCAGTTTTGTCCCAGTGCATGATGATTTGAAAGGCAAGGAGAGAGTGAGCAGACGCTCTAGCTGGCAGTGCGACTATTATGAATGGGCCTTCTATGGACAGGAGAAACATCCTCGATGCCATACGAGAGACGAGAAGCTGTGAGGCTTTCAGTTTCACGGAAAATGATTTTTTACTAAATAGACTACACACCTTGGGTGTACTAATTGGAGCCCTGAGACAGAAAAAACCATGTGTGAGCCAGAATGAGAGCTGTTAGTCTTAAAACAATTGGATACATACTCAAGAGGAGATCGGAGCACTTATGGTCATGTCCGATGTGCGATAAAGATGATCTCAAAAATGAACAATTGACAATATATCTTTGGTACATCTTTGGGTTACATTATGTGAGTGTGTGTGTATGTGTTTATGTGTGTAAGTGTGCGTGTGCGAGTACCCGGGTGTGTCACGTGTGAGAGTGGGTGTGTGTGTGGGTGTGTATGTGTGTGTGTGTTATAGTTTATATTTGACATTTCAATCGAAACGTTTAGACATTTAGAGCTTCCGTCAATGTGAGCTCTTCTCAGAAAAGAAAACAGAAATAGTGGCCAAGCATTTCCTCCCCTAGTAACGGATCAGCCGGCAACAATGTAAGCGAATATCTCTGGAACTCAGTAAAAACATTAGCACCCACAGGAATGCATTTGTTTTTTTCATCGTAAGTATCTGGGTAACTTATGTCTGCCTATGTGCATCGAAGCATATATATATATATATATATATATATATATATATATATATATATATATATATATATATATATATATGTGTGTGTGTGTGTGTGTGTGTGTGTGTGTATATACCCTATTCCGGAACTCCGCTACACAGATGACACATTATTGTTGAACTGAATGGTAATGAAGCTAAACATTATTAGTAGTAGTATTACCAGCATAAAATCTCCCGTGTGGGTTCCGGGGTCCCATTAGGATGAAAAAGAATAGTCATAGTCTCCCCCCCCCCCCTTTTTCCCCCTCCCCCCCCCAAACCACAGTAGAAAAAAAGACGATTATTGGGGTGTTTTCTATGATTGGATGTTTTGGACAGAAAGACAAGAGTCTCACACCATCACAGACTAGTGCCAGCTTACCTTTTAAGGGTGATGTCCGAAGAACTCTATTAGCTGTTACATCACGACCATCACGGATACGAAGAAAAATAACTGAACACAAAATAACCATGCAAGACAATTCAGAAGCGAACTTTAAAAGCCGTCCTTTTCCCCCTTCCGACCCCCCCCCCCCCTTTTTTTTCCCCCACAAAAGTCTTAATGACTGCTCGTTTTCTTCTTCTTCTTTTCTTCTTTAGCAAACTGAGCCCTTGGATTCATTGCTGCAAACATCATCTGCCTCCAGTCAAATCTCTGGTACGCCTTCACTATCCAGTTGTTGACACCAAGTCTTGGCAGGTCTGTCTGGATGTTATGTCTTCATCGTCTTCTTTGTCCGCCTAATGGTCTACGGCCATTCAGGTCCCATGTGTATACAGTTTTTACCTCTCTGTAATCGGACAGTTTTTCAATACGCTGTGTCCCAACCATTTCATTTTGGTAGCCTCCTATGATGGCAGTTATCAGAAGTGATTTAAGCAGAATATGAATTTTTTTTGTTGCTTCTTACTCTCCATTTACCCTTGTTTACATCTTTAATGGGCCCAAAGATGTGTCGTAATACGTTTTCGAAACTTTGTAACAAAGCTTCATCTCTTTTAGTTGTGCTCCACATTTCAGAGCCTTAAAAGATGACTGGTTTTATAAACACTGCCGCTGTTAACTTTTTTTTTTTTTATCCAACTAAGCAGTTTAGGTAGTAGAGGGTCTCTTGAGTTTGATGATTTAACGCCACATAGCTGTTTAGGATGTGCAGTTTAGGATGTTATTCCACCCAGCTTCACATAACATAACATTCCTGAGGATTCGAAACAGTCTCCAACATGTGAGCAGTGTTCTTAACTATTCAGCCAGCTGCTCCTCTGTGACTCTTTCTTTTTGCATGACTATTATGAAGTATTGCAAAATTCAAACATTAAGTATTATTTCATAAGATAAAATAAATATTAATTAACAAGTGGTCAATTTAAAGTGTTCATTAGGTATGATAATAACATATAATCGATCCAGCCTTGAATGGGTACCAGTTGCAGTCCCGGGAAATAAAGACGGCCGGCGCGATGCTGACCACATCACCCATCTTCTGCCAGTTAGTCTATAAAATATAGGTTTAGCCCTATATGCCCTAAACACGGGTGGTAGCCCATAAGTGCTTCGTTCTTCTTCTAACTCAAGTCTGAGTCCGAAGAAGCTTAGCACAGTGCGCAGGCTCTGTAGCACCGGTGAGGATACTGAAATATTTTGGGTAGATTTTTAACTGCAAATTTTGCCGTTAGGCTACTCTTTTCGATTGCCAACAGCCTACTTTATTATTCGTCATCCCCTTGTGGGATGCAATTTGTCATTATTTTGAAGCCCCCCTCTGGCTCTTGCCAGGGTCTGCAATATAGCCTGGCCATAAATATAGCCTAATGGCTGAACGCGGTTTCCTGGACCTCTCCACAGTTGATCCTTATCCGCATAGTGGCACTTTGTGTCATCGGGTGTTTATCGCTTGTGTGATGTCCTAGTAGGGTACAATGTACTACTACTACTACCACCAGCAGCCTAGAGAATGTTTTTCGTGCGTAACAATACACACAGGCGTCCGATCTCACTACCCAGAGAGCGGGGGAAATTAATAAAAGTCGAAGTCCACGTTAACAAAATTCCAGCTCTTTCTTTCACTATTAACATACGGTATGGTTAATAAAGCAGAGAGACTAAGATGTGACGTTTCAAGAATATTAACGGATGACATTAAAATTTTTCTGCAGTTCTGGAAAAAACACACACACACACAGGTACCGCAGCAGCAACAACAAAATCAGTAAAGATCCTATTTCAGACAAAAGAGGCAAAAGTGTGAGCCCGTTATTAACAAATATGTGGATGATCATTCACTTGGGTTCTGTGCTAACTGTTGTAGGTAATGTATTGATCAGTTTGGATGATAAGAAGAAATATTTCGTTTTGTTGTTGTTGTTGTTCTTGATGATTAGTGTCATCATTTGGTCCATTCGCTGTTTCTTTTTTTTTAGTGTTGTATGTTTTTGAAAATGGTAAATTAGTGCCTTTAACATACACAATTTTAGAATGACTGGACTAAAAAAGCAGAAAACTTACTCTGTGTTTCATGTAAGTACGCATGAGTACGATCATATGGATGTGTATGAATATGGTATTATGAGTATGTATAAGAATCTGCCAAGGCAATATATGAATGTGTGTATGTGTTAGAGTGTGTCTATGCATAAGAGTGTAAGTGTGTGTGTGTGTATTATATATATATATATATATATATATATATATATATATATATATATATATATATATACATACATATATATATATATATATATATATATATATATATATATATATATATACATATGTATATATATATATATATATATATATATATATATATATATATATATATACACACGTGAGTTTGTATGTGCGTGTATGAAAGCATACGTGTGTATGTATGATCGTGTGTAAATATCAGAGTGTATGTCTAGGTATATATGTATGTGTGTACGTTTGTATGTGTTATATGTATCAAAAATATCAGACACACACACACACACACACACACAAACACACTCTGCGATGTTATTCAATAATCTATTACAGATCATTAGAAGCACGGAAGAAACTGCATTTCCTGTTCTACCAACCAAATTTCTACCAATAAAACAAACTTTATTTCTACCAAGAAAACAAACTCTATTTCCAAGCATCGCAAATTAAAATTCATGTGTATCTTATATGTGTCTCTTCCAACAGAAGAAGAAGAAGAAAAAGAAGAAGAAGAAGAAGAAGAAGAAGAAGAAGAAGAAGAAGAAGAAGAAGAAGAAGAAGAAGAAGAAGAAGAAGAAGAAGAAGAAGAAGAAGAAGAAGAAGAAGAAGAAGAAGAAGAAGAAGAAGAAGAAGAAGAAGAAGAAGAAGAAGAAGAAGAAGAAGAAGAAGAAGAAGAAGAAGAAAGAAGAAGAAGAAGAAGAAGAAGAAGAAGAAGAAGAAGAAGAAGAAGAAGAAGAAGAAGAAGAAGAAGAAGAAGAAGAAGAAGAAAAAGAAGAAGAAGAAGAAGAAGAAGAAGAAGAAGAAGAAGAAGAGGAAGTAGAGGAAGTAGAGGAAGTAGAGGAAGAAGAAGAAGAAGAAGAAGAAGAAGAAGAAGAAGAAGAAGAAGAAGAAGAAGAAGAAGAAGAAGAAGAAGAAGAAGAAGAAGAAGAAGAAGAAGAAGAAGAAGAAAGAAGAAGAAGAAGAAGAAGAAGAAAGAAGAAGAAGAAGAAGAAGAAGAAGAAGAAGAAGAAGAAGAAGAAGAAGAAGAAGAAGAAGAAGAAGAAGAAGAAGAAGAAGAAGAAGAAGAAGAAGAAGAAGAAGATGAAGTAGGGGAAGAAGAGGAAGAAGAGGAAGTAGAGGAAGAAGAAGAAGAAGAAGAAGAAGAAGAAGAAGAAGAAGAAGAAGAAGAAGAAGAAGAAGAAGAAGAAGAAGAAGAAGAAGAAGAAGAAGAAGAAGAAGAAGAAGAAGAAGAAGAAGAAGAAGAAGAAGAAGAAGAAGAAGAAGAAGAAGAAGAAGAAGAAGAAGAAGAAGAAGAAGAAGAAGAAGAAGAAGAAGAAGATGAAAATTCTAGTTTGTCTCATGACTGCGTCTGCTTCTTTCTCTCTCTTTAAGTTATCATCCTGCAGCATTGGAAAAGTCAGTGAAAATATTATTTCAATAGAAATAGAGCCTAACCTATTTGTTGCGCTTCACTATTCATCATGGTTGTTAAATATTTCCTACAAGTTAAGCAAGTGCCCTACAAGTGTCTTCATGTTACAAGACGTGCATTGATGACTAGCAACTAATTCGTGATACCACCAATATTAAATACACGGTTCCCTTCACTGGTTCACGTACATCAGATAGTTAGCTTTACTCGTGAACTGCCCTTGTAGAACTATGACAGCTGGAATAAATAACTTGCAAAAAACATTTTGCAAAGACGTCAAGGAGAATGCGTGGTAAAAAACAAACTGTCATCCTTCTGGAAATAATTTGTTAATTCATATTACTGTAGAATATAAACAAAACATCACAATTAGTCTGTGCATTTCCCATGACCTTTTCACTCCTATTTTGATTTGTTGTCTAGGAACGCTGTGCCAGAAAATCATATTGGAAACACAGCTGAATAAATCGCCTTGTACCACTGGCCTAAGAACGGACTCAGCAGACAGATATTTTGTCAGTGGCACAGTTGCTGTAAATGTAGCAGAGTATTTGGCAATAGGCTGGAATAGCAAAATGTTCTTTATCGTTGACTCAAAAACAAGCGATGGAATACAGAGGAAAACATATGTAAGTATCATACACCAGCATGTAGCTCGTGTAATAATTTTATTGTGTAAATATGAATACATATTACGGTTCTGAATAATGTTAGACTACTTTAAAAAAAAAAAAAAAAGACTTCAATCTCTAATGAGTTCATCTTTGAAATTATATTTCACACTATGACCCATTTGTGTCTTGCATCTCTTTGTGTTGTTGGCTGTGCTTGCTAGCAATATTTGCCTACCCTGAAATATCAACGCATGTTGACACATGGGAGAAGACAAAGTATTTAAAGACTGGAAGAAGAAGAAGAAGAAGAAGAAGAAGAAGAAGAAGAAGAAGAAGAAGAAGAAGAAGAAGAAGAAGAAGAAGAAGAAGAAGAAGAAGAAGAAGAAGAAGAAATAGAAGAAGAAAAAAAGAAGAAGAAGAAGAAGAAGAAGAAGAAGAAGAAGAAGAAGAAGAAGAAGAAGAAGAAGAAGAAGAAGAAGAAGAAGAAGAAGAAGAAGAAGAAGAAGAAGAAGAAGAAGAAGAAGAAGAAGAAGAAGAAGAAGAAGAAGAAGAAGAAGAAGAAGAAGAAGAAGAAGAAGAAGAAATGAAAAGCGATGCGTTCTCTAAAGAAGCAACTTTTTAATAACTGTATGTCATTAAAGTCTTGATATTTAAAACAACTGTTTGTCGACTAAAAAGAAAGAAGTACTGTTTATGAATGCAGGTCTTAGCATATTTTCTTAAAATATTCGTAAATGTAAGTTTACTGCCGTTTCAGACATGTTATATCTCGCTGAATACAACTGATTGTAATCCCGATCTTACCGAAGACTGTTACTGTAGTGATGTAGATTCAGTTACAGGGGAAGTTCACTTTGTACTGAATCTTAAAGCGTTGATACTGATTAGCAAAGGAATCGGCAGAGTATCCTGGCGGTACAACGTTTCAACTGTTATGTTTTCTAATAATGTAACCCTGCCAGGAATGTATGGTGAGTATTCCGTTTATAAAGATTATGATCCTATGATAGCGACTTCTTTAACCCTTTGTGCTCCCTCGGGGGTCCACCCTCAATCAACTCATTCCAAGATCCTCCTAGCCTTCTATCATAAGCCGAGTCTCTAACCGTGAGCTGACATGTTTCGCTATCTCACGCGATCACTAGATTAATAGATTAGTTCAATGGTTTCTTGCCAAGCCATCCAGGTTTTTATTGTGTGCTTTCCTGTTGTTCTCTTTCCTGCAATCTTGCCGGTTGTCTCCATGTTCTCTAGGCTGTTCCTTCCCATAACAAGTAAAACATACATTAGCTATTTACGTCTAACTGTTCTAATAAGTTTACGACATTCATCTGTCTCTCTGAGGACTGCTTTGTTTGTTTTTCTATTCCTGCTTGATATGCTTAGCATTCTTCTCAAAAACCAGTAAGACCATCAGGCTCTGCTCTATGTGTGACACCACCATAGTCAGGCCACGCTTCCATTTGATAACCGTCTGTTCAGCGTGCCATTTTGTTTGTTTGTCTGCAAACAGTGATAAGATGTCAGACCATGTATTTTAATCAGTCCCTTTTTCGACATTCATAACCTTTATGGATATGCTAGGCAGGTCTTCCTTTCCAAAGTTTAAAAAGCACAACAAAACACTAGCTTTTTCAAGATTTTCCATTGACATAATCTGTTCACATCACTCCGTCACCTCAATTAATACACTATGTAAGATTGTTTGACCTAGTTCGATACAATAGAACATCGTCTGCAATGTCAGGGTTCACACCGGTCCAGCAGCTTGTGTTTTTGCTAGACATGCTGTATAGACACGCTGTTGAACACCACCGGTGACGATTTTGATCCCCGAAGAATGTCACAAAAACATAAAACCACTGTTCTCTCTACCGGTGCTGTCCGTTCCGTTATAGGTATCTTCAAAATATATCGCTACAGCTACTGTTTCTTTCTTTCGCCGAAATCTTTCATTCACATCATATGCAAGCTGACTAGCATTGTCCTATGTTGCCTTTGATGGTTTGTAGCTGCCCATGGTGCCCGAAAGTATTCCCATTCTTTCTAAGTGTAACATCACTTTCTTCGCCACAATTTGTTTGAAGCAGTTTGCCGTGCACATTTTACAAGGTAATGATTATGTTTCTGCTGAGCCGTGAGAGATCCGTGCGTAGTTTTTAGAAATGGTTTAAGATAACTACTGGACGTAAATTTGTCTAGAAAAACCACAACAGCCAAAAAATGCGGGGGTTGGTTCTGGAGAGTCCTGTAAAGGATACTCAGCTAACTAACATGACATAAAGACAGATCCCAACTCCCAGAAAGACGTCAGGATATTCAGAATGTTACAAGAAATCAACCATCAAATGCTCGCTTTGAAGCTCCAGAAATCTGGATGAAATTGGTAAATGAAGAAACGAAACAGTCAGACCCAATGACCCTTATGAACTATAGCTAATACCATTGGTTCCTACCCCGAAGAATGGATACATGTTTATACTGATAGATACTGATGATAGATCTGCGGTCAACCAAAGTAGGTTACGGCGTCTACATAGGCTATACTGATGGATCTATTGAAATTTTTTTTATATGCATGCGGGGAATTCTGCTCAAATCATGAAGCCAAAATTATTGCTCTGGAAATAGCGAAAGACCATTTAAAGACTGGTAGGGATCGTTTATCCTTTAAAGGCCCAAAACATTGTAATCTTCACCTATTCAATATCCACTCTACTAGCCACGGAGGGCAGTGTACGTAACAGAACTGACATAGCAAAGATAATTATAGATATACATCAGAATTGTGATGCAGTGATTCCAGGCTACCCTTACACACCAGACAATGACAAAGCTGACAGACTGTGAAAGAAAGAAACAACATAAGAACAAGCGCCCACAGCGGCAACCCTACAGACAACAAAAGCACTTATAAGAGCTATAAACAAAGAGGCATGGCTGAACATGTGGGTCATGCGAGATACGGGAAGAGAGGCTTACACACATATGACCGGCCCTGACTCCAAATGACAGCATCAAACCTCTAACAAGGAGGGACCAGGCCACCATCTACCGAATCAGGACACAGCATATTCACCTCAATGGGCATCTAAATATAATACAGCTTTTAACTTAGTCCTACGGAAAAGTTGACCATTTTCTACTTGAATGCCTAAAACTCAGCGTGCCTAGAAGACAGCTACTCCCTCGGAGACCAGACAAGTAGAACAGGTTGTACGGAGGGAAAAAAAAAGCTTGTGAAAACATGTCAATTCCACTACTTGGTTTTGGACTCTGGATCGGTAACAACAACAACAACAACAACAAACAACAACAACAACAACACTGAAAACATGTCAAAATATTTTTTTTATTAAACTAAAAACCTGGCTCTCTAGCCTAGTTGTCTAAACCGGATTGCGCGGTGACCGGGTGACGAACTCCTAGTGGTCTGGGTTCACTCCTGGGGGTAGGCAGAAAAGCCACATTTCTCCCAGATTTAGAGTATTTATCATAGAATCAAGGCCGAAAAGTTGCGATATCCATAATACCGAGCCTAAGGGTTAACAACTCATGGCTTCTGTATACTAAAACAAACAAACAAACAAATTTAACTAAAAACGACTTCATTTTTTCTAATCAGATTTACAAAAAGCACAGTTGAATCTAACTGTTGATGGTGTGATGGGAAAGCTGTCTGCGTCTGGATCATGCAGCTTTAGCTTTACATTGAACAGATCAAATCACTTGAGATTGTGCTGCTTCAACACGCCCTTGCCATGTTATCCCAGGATTTCATTTGGAGCAGATGTTGTCAGTAGCAACTCCTGTGTTTCATATCCAAGCGTTCCACTGATCTCTGTTGGGGTTACAAGAAATCTTGTTCTGTCCTTCTCCCCGTGTAATCAGGTGGAGAATGTTCTAGGATACTTTTGTCGATTGACCACAACACCAGGTGAGCTTATACAACACCAGGTGAGCTTATACAACACCAGGTGAGCTTATACAACACCAGGTGAGCTTATACAACACCAGGTGAGCTTATACAACACCAGGTGAGCTTATACAACACCAGGTGAGCTTATACAAACACCAGGTGAGCTTATACAACACCAGGTGAGCTTATACAACACCAGGTGAGCTTATACAACACCAGGTGAGCTTATACAACACCAGGTGAGCTTATACAACACCAGGTGAGCTTATACAACACCAGGTGAGCTTATACAACACCAGGTGAGCTTATTTGTTTATTATTTCAGATAAGTGCGAACTGTTTTTAATGTTAAATGTGTATGTTCTTACAGGTGAGGTTTTAAAATTGTGTTACAATCACAATGCATGTGCGTGCGTGTGTGTGTGCGCGAGCGCGTGCGTGTGTGCTTGCATCCGTGTTTTTTAGCTAATGTACCGATTATCCTCATCGCACATTGGACAAAACTATAAGCGTTTGGATCTCATCTTCTTTATGTGTGGTGACGGTTGACACCAGTTCTGTTGGTTTACTATTCTTCTTTGGCTACCTATATTGTGTTCATATCTAGCCGTACCTCATGTGACCGGAAGTTCTTATTCCCTTTATGTCGCCGATTCACAGTCGTCTCCTGGATCATCGTCCTCCCTCCTTGAGAGAACTGAGAACATCGGCTCGGTCCGCTACTGGTACTGTATGTACCTGCTGGGGCCCGACCATCCAACCAGTCTGCTCGTTCAGTCACTCTTCCCCGTGAATGCCCTGGCACAAAAATGAAACGGATTCCAGTCAGATTTCCCCAGAGACTCAAAACATTGCTGTCGTATGGCAGTTTCGTTACGTACCTTTGCTTCAGGACTCATCATTACCCATGTCCTTCAATGAAAATTAAGTTGTTTCAGTGTGACTGGTTGCATATGACCACATTCTGACCTCACCTGTTGCATGACTGCATGGGCGCACGATGTAGCAGGTTATGAGAGAAGTGAGGGGCAGAGAATTGGAACAGCGAGAGGTCGGCACTTAGTACCTGACAACATACATAGCAACTGTTGCCGTGTATATACATATTAAATTCTTAGCATAGCAAATACATGTCAGACATTCAGTTTTAAGTCGAAACTCATCCTCAAGATGTCTCCACCTTAAGGTGTTGGTTGGCAGGGATTGGGGGGGAGGGTGGGGGGGGGGGGGGCTTGTTTTCTCAGTAACTCTGAAAGCCATCCTGGCAGTAGCGTTGAAACCAGCAGGTTCTCACAGGCCAGGTAAAGCTGTAGAGATCAGATAAAGAGAGACACCATATCCCTCCAGGTTGGGCAGTTTTAGCAGGGTATAGACGGGGACAACTTTGTAACAACACGTACGCCGGGCAGATGGAGCTCATTGGTTATGGACAGCAATCAGTTAGGAGAAGGAACTCGTAATCACCAAACTCCATTGTCTAATGGACAGGTCGTGCTTGACCATGGACTAAGGAAACACTCCCTAGCAGAATGGCATGCTAAAGTTGGAGGTCCCGCGCCATAAGGTGCAAGTAGTCTACAAAGGAGTCATCGCCGAGCCTGTAAACTAGGGTACCATGGAATTCGTCCCCTTATTGCCGGTGATCGATAAAGAGAATGATAGATGTGGTGCTGCGCCTGTTAAACACCGCCTCGAAGGAGCCCAACGCATACTACTTGTTGTACCTCTGTATCTACTTGTGGAGCCAGGAGAAGGGGGCAGAGGCAGAACTCAACGGCCAAAACCAGTAACAAAAGATACACCCAACAAAAAACAAAACAAAACCACTCTATATACTGCTATAGAATACTGAACATATGCCTCAGACATGTTCTCTGTTTGCAGTAGAGAGATCCCAGGTCTGTCCAGTTGGCATTCTGGTGGACACCAAGCTGCATGCATCAGCGGCCCTCTCATCTGAGAAACCACAGGCAGGGAGAATGAGAAGAAGAAGAAATTGTTTATGTAGCATCAATAGACTCTGAGAATTTTCCTTTCTTTGCCAACAGGTGT